GACTCACAGAAGGCCTTTTAATTCCACTGCCAGGGTGAGCTTGTGGAGAAAATTGGGAGCCTCTCCATCAGCTAACAACTATTGTAGTTGATTGTGATGCTGCTCACGAATATCTAGGTGCAGGTTAGTCATGCTGCTACTGGAGGTCTCACAATGGCAATTACTTTCATGTAAGGTGTCAAACTATGACATATTCTATCAAGAAAGAATCTAACTCAATTTAGGTAATGATTCTATCTTATCTACTTTATGATGATGGTGCAGTTATTGTTTCACAAACCTGGTTTGATCTTGGGTGACACTTGAGAGGATTTGCAATATTTTATCATAAAAAAGTACTTGGAATTAATTATTCTAGAAATAAAGGTTTTCTATTTGCTATATAAATGGCAAATTAATGGCTTTCAAATCAAACAGATCAATTTTTTTTTTAAAAAAATTGGGATGTTATTTAAAATTTAGTGTATCGTATCAATTCCACATTTCAGTCCATGCCTAGAAGGTTCCTATTATTCTAAGTAATTTTGTTCATAATTTTGTTCCAACAGCTACAACAATGCTGGGCTCTCATACTTTGCATATTTTGTCTTTGCTGCCTCAAAGACTGGAGTGCTTCAGAAACTGTATAGTCCAAATTTCTAAGAAACTTACCCACATTTCCTTATATGTAGGCAACACATTCCTGAGTTTGAAGTTATCTTTGCCTTCATGGAGACCATATGAGAATTTCCAAATTAAAATTCTGAAAGAAATTAGTCTTTTGGGTAGCCCCTGATTGAGCCCATCGTTACTGATAGATCTAAAGGCTCTTTGAAGAAAGATGTAACAAAGAATTAATCATTGCAGTCTCACAGATCCATTCTTGAAAATGCCTGGATCTGAAAAAGCCCTTAGTGGGGTTAGAGACTCTTTGATGTGAATGCGTTGAAATCTTAAGGCTTTGAACCATCACAGTAGAGTCCATTTTATTGATTTTCTCCTCATACCTGAAGACTTTTTAAAACAACCATCTTTTCCAACAGAAAAGCTTTTATTCTAATTGGACTAGCATGTTGTCACTTGGAATATTTTAGAGAAGATATAGCAATATCTCATCTTTGTTTATATTTCTGAATGGATAAACTGTTGAAACAATTGTCTATGATTATTGTGCTGTTCTTTTTATGCCATCTGGCATTCTGAACTAATAATTACCCTTTCACTGCCCTGCCTTGTAAAGCAAACATTTTATTTTCTATTCTTGAATAGGTCTACTATTCAAGAATAGTAGATACTACTATTCTACTAGTATCTCCAAAAAGTAACCAGATTCGCTTTAATGGTTATTGCCACCAATATATACTGTGCTAAGCTTAATACAATAATGGGTAACTAAGAGCAGAAAGTATGCTCTGGGCCAGGGGTCTCCAATCTTGGCAACTTTAAGACTTGTGGACTTCAACTCCCAGAAAAGATGGCTGAGGAACTCTGGGAGTTGAAGTCCACAAGTCTTAAAGTTGCCAAGGTTGGAGACCTCTGCTCTGGGCAATTCCATACTGCATCCTGAGCTGCTAGTCCCTTCCACCTGCTTTGGAAGGCAACTTCAGAAGTTCCACTTTTGACTGTGGTGGGTTGGCAAAGGGCCATGGTGGTGCTCACTCAGAACTAAGGCCACTACAGGACTTGATGGGTCATTCTCCAGTTATTTGCCCTTCTCACCAATGTAAAGAAAGTAAATGGGGGATCCTTGATGCTCTCTGAGCTTGTTTTCTTGCAGTGTTTCATTACTCTAACTAGATAACATAATCAGTGCTAGTGACTCCTTACTAGCACAGATGATATCTAGTTAGGGTAATGAGACGTCTGCAAGAAAAAAAAACTCGGAGAGCACCAAGGACCCTTCATTTCAACCCTGAGCTACAAATATTATCCTTTAAATAAACTAAATCTTGCTGGCTGGCTCTTGTGCGAACCAGCATGCCAGTGCCCGCCATTGAAATATTGTTCTTCCTCCACTTATTCTAGGCTCTTGCCATTGCCTTATTTGAATGCATTGGATTACACACTATTCTGCAAATTATTTTTGATAGTAACAGTGATCCTTCCCCCCTCTGTGGTATGATTCTTGCTCAGTGATGAAAGCAACAGGAGATAAGGTTGTTCTTTCTCCCCCCCCCACCTCTCTTCTGTAGGTGCATGAAAACTTTGTAGCAAGGAGGGATATCATAGAAACAAAATAGCAGCATCCCTGTTGCCATTTGAAGATGTAAAAAAAAAAAAAAGGGAAAAAGAAGGGAAGAAAGGAAAGGTCTGGGCAGAGGAGCATGCTTCATCCAGCTTGGGTAGTCCCACTGGCAGATACAAGGACTGAATGAAGCATGGCTTTCAAGTGGTGAGCATAGGTCCTTGACTTAACAGCCCATTTTTAAATCAACAAGATTATGGGGAAATGACAGCTACCAACCAGCAGAGGACATAGCTGCCTGGCAGCCCAGGATGAAATGGTTGCATGGGACAGTGACCAGCCCTTGAGAGAAAAGAGCCTGGCAGTCACTGCAGCCAAGTGAATTGCATCTGTCAGTTTGGAATCAGGTTTTGAAGGCCATCCAGTGTAAAGGACTCAAATTAAAATCGATAGAAAAACAACAGTTTTGAATGAAAGTTGGAAAGCTTTGCGGAGGACTGGGTGAGGGTGGGGACACAGGGAACTGGGAGAACCTTATCTGTTCCTGCACTCAGGATGGGGATGGTGGTAATGCTGAGGAATACCATGGTGTGTGCTTGTTTACTCATAACAACCTTTCCCAAACAAATACTCATCAAATACATTAAATTCCAATACCCAGCCAGTAAGATCAGGTTAACTTCTGCCTCCAAAATCATGTAGTCTTTGTCCTTATATTACATTTGCTTTAAATAGTGTGAAATGGTAAGAAAAATATATACATACATTTACATACATATATAAGGAAAAAAGAAGGAAAGGGCTAAGGGACAAAAGATGGGAAAGGCTTGTGAAACCATGGCGATGTGTAAGCATCTGGAAAACCAGGAAAAGAATGGGGAGTAACAAGAAAATAAGAGTCCCCAAAAGGAGAAGGGGAACACTGATAGACACACTCACACCAGTTTAAGATAGATGGGACGGGTCAAGAATCTGGCGAAGGACTAATCAGGGTCTGCAATGTCTCCACTCTGCCCTGAGCACCAGCCTGGCCCCTTTGCCAACATATCTTTATTTAGACTGAATGTTTTAAAAGTTTTTTCCCAGTGTAGCTGGGAACAGCACAGAACTTCAGCTGTCATATGGAACTTCCATTGGTTCTATCTTAGAGATTTAAGGAGTATTTAAGTTAATTCATCTGAGTTTCTGCAGCACATGGATTTTTCTGTTTTGTCTTATCAGAAAGCTCACAAAGGAATTCCAAGGTTATATGATCTTTAAAAATCTTAAGGCTAGTTCTTCTTTGTTGTCTTAAATTTTATTACATGGCTTACAATCATTTTTCTTTTAAAATGGCAATTTAAAAAACTTGGGAATATTTCTGGTGATAGGGTTTTTTTTTGCACACATAAAATCTGTTTTTCTTATTTATGAATTTCATTTCTGAAATGGTGCAGAAAAAGTACACAATTCAAAATACCTTTGGTCCTAATGGGTAACTTCAAGAGGATGGAACAAATGGAGGCCATCACTTGGAACAGTTTGCATATTTTTAGAGATTATAAAATAATTGTGATCCACCAGACTGAAAATTTAACTCTGCACAAACCTGGTGAAAGTATAATTTTTAGTTATTTATGATTAATAACTAAAATAGTCAAAATTCAATGCAACTGCCTGACTCTGTTCAAAGAAACAGCTTGCCCTGTTTGGACATATTTGCATAGGCAAGTCCTTTCTTTCTTTCTTTCTTTCTTTCTTTCTTTCTTTCTTTCTTTCTTTCTTTCTTTCTTTCTTTCTTTCTTTCTTTCTTTCTTTCTTTCTTTCTTCCTTCCTTCCTTCCTTCCTTCCTTCCTTCCTTCCTTCATTCCATTTCTATACTGCCCTTCTCCAAACAGGACTCAGGGCGGTGAACAGCCAAAGTAAAAAACAGAACATACAAAATTTAAAAACAGTTTAAAATAATTAAATATTTTGGCCGTAAATTAAAACAACCCAATTTAAAATCTATTTAAAATTTAACTCAAGCCAGCCCAGCTAGTTGAAATAAATAGGTTTTCAGGGCCCGACGAAAAATCCGGAGGTCTGTTATTGTACGTATCTCTGGGGGGAGGTTGTTCCAGAGGGTGGGCGCCGCCACAGAGAAGGCTCTCCCCCTGGGGGTCGCCAGCCGACATTGTCTGGCGGACGGCACCCTGAGGAGGCCCACTCTGTGTGAGCGTACTGGCCGGTGGGAGGCTATTGGTGGCAGAAGGCGGTCTCGTAAGTAAGTCCTTTGGTTTATTTATACCAGATACAGTCCACGGATCTTTCTTCTTTTATACCCATTTACTAGGAAGTGCATCTCTTTGAATTCTCAGCTTTGCCAATAGGTTTCATTATTTGTATCTGAAAATATTGTGTGGATCCAGTCAGATAGATGTAGCCTGATGAATGCATCAGTCAGGATATGATTTTTTACCACGATAAGACAAAGAATGCCTGTTTGGGCGATTGAGATCCCTGAATAGAGACTTTTATCACAGGACAGTTACAACTACCTTTGTTACAACTGCCCTTTGTTATTTTAATAGTTCAGCAAGCGGTGCGTTCGTGTGGGTGTAAAGCAACCGTTCCGCATAGGATCAATAATGATCCAGAAAGAGCTTCCTCTCATGCATTATTCAGTCCCTCACTGTCGTAATAATTTAAGCCGGGAGGAAAAGGAAAGAGCCACTCAACCGCACCCAGGGCCCGCCGTGCCGAGGAGTAGCAGAGTAATCCGGGGTGGGGCCCCAGGCAGGAAGACCACGATCGACTCCAGCCGGGAAGCGCTGGGGGAATCCGAGCTCTGGGTGTGGCAGGCCTCGAGGGCGACGCTCACTTTCTCCGGCTCTCCCCATTTCCGTTGTTTCCCGAGAGGCGACCGCATCTCGCAGCTTCGCCCCCTCATTCTAAGGCTACGGTGCGTATCGGCTGCTTTCCGAGCGCAGCTAAGTTGTGGGGAGGTAAAACGGAGGCTGAGAAAGTAGCGAAAGATCGAGCGGAGGAAGCCATTGCGGAACGCGTATCGGTCTTTGTATCTCGGAGGCCTCGGCTGAACCCAGCTTGGAGCAACAGGGCGTTGGAAACGTCCCAGGAGAAAGTGCTCGGGCGTTTTCCGGTGGCCGAAAGTTGGGGTTCAGAAGAGACCCCCCGATTTGGAGGGGGTGCCTATTGGGGAGCCATAGCTGCTCGGAGGAAACCAAAGAAAGCGGTCGGGTTTATTTGCTCGTTTCCTGGGTAGCGGTACTTGTTGGCCGCTTTCTTTTGAACTCTGCAAGGGTAACCCTCTGTCCCTTCTTTTTCTTCGCAGCTTTTGCTCTTCGCCTAAAAAACCTAAACGATCCCCGAAGCCATGGCAAAGGTAAGTCCTACCTTGCTTTCTCCTCGCTGTGCAATTTGAAAACTTAACTTACCAAGAGGGCTGAAGAAATTTTGAAAGAAGCCAATCGATTTGATGAAAGTATTAATAAATCGTAAAGCTACCGCCATTTTGCAACACACTTTTTTGGGGGGGTGGGGGAATTTGTACAATGAGATACTTTCCCCCATAGAGATCCTTAAGTCCCGAAGGGCGGCCTGTCGTTCGTTTAATTCCCAAGCAATTCCTGTGAAACAGTTTTTTTTTTGTTTTTTTTTAAATCCAGTTATCTTGTCATGCCAAACGAACGTTTTGGCTTTATGAAGAAAAAAAAAAGTGAAGGGTAAAAAAAGTTATTCTTAAGGTTCTGACTCAACTCTGGTGACTCTGCTCCCTGCACTTTTATATTAGTTTCTCCTAATGTGATATCTCCAGCTGTGCTGGGACTACAACTCCCAGAATTCCTAGTCAACCAGTTAGTTTTCTTATAATTTGCCAGATAGTCTGAAGATAAACGACTGGGAGTAAGAAATCCCCCTTTTGGGGATGTGGGAGGACAGTTTCTTCCTCTCTGTTTTTCTTGTAACACTATGCTGATTTGATCTGGGCAAATTCATCTAAATATTTAAAGAGGTCAAGTTGGGAACAGGATGAGCTCATCCTGCTCAAATGATTCCACGTCATGCTTTTTTCCATTTTCCATTCTTTTAGCCAAAATTTTCTTGCACTGCAAATTTTTTGCTGTGAGTTGGTGTGTCTTCTTTTTAGCAATGAAAAGGTCAACAAATAGCTAAATAATGAATTTCCTTTTCATTCTTTTTGTATGTTTTGCATTTTGGTTTTGGACTGCCTGTATTCTATATCCTTTTTTTCAAGCCAAATAGCCTTTTTGAATATTTTTGAATCAGAGTAAATCTGAAGTTAGTTTGCAGAGTTTTCTTGAAGTTTGCAAAAATGATGACATGTGAGGAACTGAGATTACTCATAGTATGACTCAAAGTTCCAGATGTCATTTAATTTACAAGAGTTATGGTAAATTCTCTAAGGGCAGGGATGATATTGTTCAGTCATAGCTCACTTCAGATTGTATGTTTCCTGGGCCCTATGTGAATATTCTTTAACTTGATGGCCTCCACGTTTTGGTCTAGAGTTGTCAGAATTCATATCAAGTAACTTGGCCTGTGTTGGGTAGACATTAGCAGCTCTAGCTCAACACAATGGAGAGTTCCAGATTGAAGACAGGTTTATAAGTGGTTCCTCTGTACACTTATTGTGTGCAAATAAGATTATGTTGAATGGCTAGAAAAGAAACTGATTTGAACTAACATAACAAAGAAATATTTCAAATGCATTAGTATAGCTCTCTGTGTCTCATCATGAGTTGTAATAGATTATATAATCTACTTTGATAGATGCTTTAGAGGCAATATAGAATATCTGCCAATTATATTTGATAAAAAGTTCAGTCGCTGTATTGAGGGAATAGAAACTGCTATTGGAAATAAATGCTTATGAGTATGAATGTGGGAATTAATTATGTATTTGCAAAATGTAGGAATTAGATTATGAATTTGCAAAATACACTGAAGACACTTTCAGAAATTATAATTATAAATAATATTCATAATATAATTTGAAATTATAAAGCCTGCATATGAAGTGGATCAATGCATAACTCTGCATAACTCCACCTTTACTAGTACTACCTTCTAATCTTGGTATGTCACATAAAAATTCTAAAGGGGAACCCACCTGTGCTGCTCTGATTAATTAACTATGATTGCTTTATCATTGTTAATTAAGATGCCATCTTGCTAAGCTAAATGCATGGGGTTTTTTTCTTCAGATATGTCTGACAATGTGAAGGAGTAGACCTACAGGGAGTCCTTAACTTATGACTGTAATTGAGCCCAGAATTACTGTTGTAAGTTGTGGTGGTCATTAAGTGGGTCACCATGTGATCTTGCCTGATTTTATGACCTTTTTTGTTAAGTGAACACAGTGGTCATTAAATGAATCAATTTCCTTCAATGAGTGGGTTTTTTGCTTGAAAGTGAAAATAAACACCAGAAGTTGTGATCATGTAACTGCAGAATGCTTTGAATGGCCATAAATGCAAGCTGATTGCCACGTTGCCCAAAATGCGCTCATGTGACCACAGGTGGTGGAGGAATTGTGGCTGTCCGAACTCCAGAACTAGTCATATCCGCTTTAACTTTGAATGGTGGCTAAGCGACTGTTAAATGAGGACTACTTGTAGTAGGGGCTGGACAGTGAGAACATACAGGGGATAACTTGTCGGTAGATACAATGGAACAAATAGTTATAATAGAGTTATCTGAAATCTTGATCCACTTTATACAGATCTTAGATTTCTAATACTCAGTGTTGGATTGGAATAGAAATAGAAACTACCTTGATAGTAGTTTCAAGACTGTTATTTAATAGGTTGAAGTAGGAAGTTTAGATAGGTAATATTGTTTTGGAAGGAAAATACAGCAGAACCCCATATGAAGCTCAGCACTGGTCCTGGGATGCTGGTGCTATAAAACCACAGTCCGTGTTCTTCCATATTGCTAATTCTTGAAGGAGATTTGTCAACAATTGATTGCCCCCTTTTATTTAATGTATGGGGCACTCTGATAGCAATAGCACCTGGATTTATATACCGTTTAATTTTTATTTGCATTATCTAAGATCAGTTTATTTCTTTAAAAGTAGCATTGTGTGTAAACATCGCCTACAAATAGTTGTGATAGTTATTGTTAGGAGATAAAGCTACTCTTCTGTTGCTCTGAATTAAATGTATATTTTAGTAGAAGTCAAACAACCTCTTCTCCTTTCTCCTCTTCCTGATCTAGTGACTAATTGTTTTTAATCTTTGATCCCTTGCATTTTATAATTTTGTATCATTATTCTAGGCAGCCAGCCAAAATAACTTTGCTTAACAAACACTCAATTTCTTAGTTTTATATGTTTAACTTTGGTAGGATTGCTATTATGTTGTTTTGCTTTTACTGTAACTAGAAATGGGGCTTTAATTATTAAAGCCTTTGGAAGTCCTTAAGAAAGATATAATATCTTTTGATGATTTTTTAAATGTTTGAACTTAATTTGATAAATCCAATAAGTCATTAATTTTTGTAGATTTATGTTCTGAATCTTAATATTTCATATTTTAAAACATTCAAATGTGCATACTTTTCATTTTCTGCCTCCAGCAATACTTTTTAAATGAATATTAATGGAAATGAAAAATAAAATTGCACTCTTTCAACTAGTTTTTGACATTTATAAATGTTTCTTCCCTTTTATAGTGCATAAATTTAAAAATGCCTGCCGTAAATTAAATGAGACATTATGGAGGTGTTCCACAAACAAAAGGCTACTTTTGAAAGTAGCCTTTTGCCTCTAGTTGTTACTAGGAGGATTTTGAAAAAAAAACACCCTGCTGTTTAGAATTGCTTCCTCAAAGTCTGCTTTTCCATTAAACACACCAAAGAGCTGTTTCTGTCCATTTTTAAATTTCCTGCCCATTTTTTCTTCATGAAGGGAGAAGGATACAGGATTCCTTCCATTTTGCTTTGCAGTCCAGGAAATAGAGTGAGATTTCTGAGAGAGAGAGAGACGGAAAAGTCTTCTTTTTCTTATCCAAATATCTATGGAGATTCTCAGTTATCCAGGTCATGGTTCTCCCAAAGGTGCTTTTTCAAGAGGCAACTGGGCTTTCTGGTTTTTCTTTGAAGACGTTTTGCTTCTCATCCAAGAAGCTTCTTCAGCTTCTTTTCTAATCCAACTGTTCTAAAATAGTTTCCCAAAGAAATGAACAGAATATCAAGTGGAGGGTCTCCATGCATCTCCTACCTTATGTTTATTTTGGAGATCCAATATTCAAAGAAATCCATCAAAGATAAAATGTGGGGTATGAGAAATGAGTATGCCGGTAATGTCATCTGTCAGTCTTAATTGCAGTTAAGATATATGCTTAGTTAGTCTTATGTTACTAACATGATGTCTAGAATAACTTCCCTTCTACACTCTACATTACTTACCTGCTTATTTGTAACTGGAGCTTTTTAACCTTCACTTGCCTTTCCTAACAATACCGTTTCCATAGTAGCTGCAAATAGGAACATGTGTATGTCATTCAAAAAAAAAATTACAAAGGAGATATAAATAATCTAGTTTTAGCAATATATTTATAATCTTAGGTGATTCTCAAAATACATTGGCTGGAAAAGCAAGAACATGCTGCTTTTGACATGGCCCTTTAAATTGGATGTGGTCAGTCTAAGGCCTCAGAACTCTGCAGCTTCAGCAGCCCCTTCCTAACTTGTTGATGTCTAAATTGACACTCTGTAGCAGAGGCCTTCAAACTTGGCAGCTTTAAGACTTGTGGACTTCAACTCCCAGAATTCTTCAGCTGGCTGGAGAATTCTGGGAGTTGAAGTCCACAAGTCTTAAAGCTGCCAAGTTTGAAGATCTCTGCTCTACAGTTTCCTGACGTTCTGAGTGAAGAAAAATATATGATCCAAAATAGCTGTGCTGTAATTAAAACTAAGTAACCTACCCAATTTAGCCTCTCAAGATATGTGATATAATCCATCTATTTTGTGATCCTCTGTCACTTGTCCCAAAAGTTAAATAGCAGTAACACTTGGTCTCTACAAGGTTGTCCAACTGGCTCCTGATTTAAATAAATTGATCCAATGCTGTTTCTGATTAAATAGAAAATAACTAAAAGATTGGTCATAATTGTAGAAAATATGTAGGTTGCCTGAATGTAAATGTTTGAAGCTGGTAGAATTAGGTTCTCCCAAGGCTAAATGTTCATAATAAATAGAAATAATAATTTTAGAGTCTAATCTGAATGCTAATGTTGAAGAGAATATAATGAAAGCTGTCTTTTCACAGACTTATCTGTGGCAATATATCCAATTCCCAAATAAAATTGCTAAATTACACTAAATATGGCAACTTATTTGTGGGGCTGATATGAGTAAATGAGTAAAGGTGTTCAGAATGTTTTCTTAAGGCATGTAGCTTCTTTCCTGGGCTGAGGGATGCACATGGCTTTTGAGAAGCATGCAAAGGATAAGATAAAAAGAATTAAGTCCAGAACATGATAGAGTTTTGAATTGCTTTCATTTACAATGAAATACAGTTAAATATAGGTAACAATTATTCTGAACTCATGCATGTAATAATTTTTTAATACTAAGCATTAGAATTTGAAAGTCTCTAAAGTTGCAAATGGAGACCCCATTTGGTCAGTGATGTCAGATTCTATGATTTATAGAGTGAAAGTAGATTTTACATAAGAGATAGCATCTCTAATCATGGATAGACTACATGATTGAAAGAAAAAAACCCTCCTTTCTGGGGCTTTCATTTTAGAAGCTTCTTAGGTAGCATAGTACGTTAACTATGGATGCCTTCCTCCCTCAAGGTCAGCACAAAGCAGAGGATAGGAGAAACTAGGCAGTGATTTCATCCTTTCTCTCTCTCTTTCATGAAAGACTTATGTTTTTAATCAAGATAAAATCCAATCCCACAAGGTTGATTAATGAAAGGGGGAGTGGGAGTGGGTGTTTGGGTCTTTGGTCATCCTGATGTTATCTTCTAAATATTTTCCAGCTTCTTCTTATTTCATCTATGGAGAAGATATATATTGAAACATAATTTTCCCCCATGAGTTCCAAATAACATGGGAATAAAGGAAGGAAAACAAGTTATTTCACCTGCTTTAACTTTGGTTTACAACAATGAACTTTCATTTAAAAGTAAAACAAACATTAGTAAATTACACTAGAGTGTCCTGCCCTAATTTAATCTTTTGTTTTCTTTGCATTACCCAGTGACCAGCATTATTTTCTTTGACTCTTGGCCAGCATTATCTTCCAAATGCTTTCATTTTGTTAGCTATCATCTACAGCAAGCATCGACAGTCATGCTAGCCATAGGTGGTAGAAATTGTAGAATGCAGTTAGAGGGGTTCTAGTTTGGAGATGAGAGTCTTGGCTTATCATTTCCTCCATGCATTTCCCCTTGCTCCCTACTCCCTGAGTAGAGACAAATAGTTTGATCTGAAATCTCTTTTGGCAGCTTCAAGTAGTATTCATTGGATTAGTGGCTGGTTAATAGAAACATAGATACAGTGACCGGTATTCAACCCTGAAAAACTTGGTTATTCTTGCAAAGATCTAAAAGTTAATTAATTCAATTGTTTCTTTTCTTTAGTGTATATTTTTAAGACTTTTTTATTTTGCCTTTATTATTTTACTGTATCTCAAGGCAGTGAACATAGATAATATTCCTTCTTCCTAGTTTCCCATTAACAACAACCCTGTGAGGTGAGTTCGGTTTACAGAGAGTGACTGGCCCAAAGTCCCCTTGCTGGTTTTCATGCCTAAGCACCTTAACCATTACACCAAACTGGTTCCCTTTTGTATTTACACAACAAAATCCTAGTCATTTAGTGACTTGCAAGACTAGGGTCTCAGATAGTTCTTTGCATGGAATTATTTGTATTTCCATGTATGCATGGACCTGTTTTAAAATACTTTGTTGGAATTTGCTAGCCCTTGTGTTTCAATAAAGTGTAGGGATGAAAATAATAGGAGATAAGATTCCATGTTTTCCATCTTGAACCTCTAGAATATGCACTCAAGTTATATAAGTTTTTGCTTTCATTCATAATATAACTGAATAAATTGGCCAAAATAGCTAGTCTCCTTGGGTTATTGGTTGGCCTTGTTAATTAGGACAAGCATAGTTTTCCTACCACCACCAGAAAAGTAGGTCCCTGACTGCCTTTCCAGTAGAAGATTTCCAGTCAGAGATTATCTGGGTTGGACATTATAGGGAATTGGGAGGAAAACATACCTAGTTTATGATTGGCCAACTAAATAATACATGCCTTTCTTGTGAAGTGCCTGGCAGCTAACTAATTAGCAAAGGAGGTCTCTTGGGAGCTTCCATCTTTGCAACCAAACACTTGTCAGCAATCCCCCAATTTAAGAGCTGGAGAGAGAGTAAGAACTGCTGGCTAACTGCTGGAATGAATCTTCACACTGTACCTCTTCAGCCTAAAAGGGAGGAGGGTTAGTCATTTATTCCACTTGCCTAAGAACTATCGGCATGGTTATTTTAGTTTGTCAAGATAGCTATCCCATTAGGAGATGGTGATTCATTTCAGGATTCAAAAGACATATATTTGTTGCCAAATTACAAATGACTAATGTTCACATGGCAGTTATACATTTTCTTTTCACTAAATTTTGCTGGTTTTCTATGCCAGTCCCTTTTGCTAATTTTTAACAATATTATGGACTTAATATGTGAATGTTTAATAATTGAACAAACGATAGCAGAGTTTGCTTTCCGGAAATAAAGAATGTAGCTAGTTTCTGAGAAGTTAAGAATGAGGAAGTAGTTGGCCCTATACAGTGAAATGTATTAATATTGAAAATGTTCCTTCTTAGACTGAAAAATTGCAATTTTATGCTACCACTTTTCTGTAACAAAGTGGGATCTAGAATAATTAAGGCTAAGGCGAGAATCCTGTTCTACTTAAACATGTTGTGGAACATGTTGTCCCAGCAACACTTATGATTGGGCATGCTTAATGGGGCTGCTGGGAATTTAAGTTCAGCATTTGGAGTATTGTGGGTTGTTTATTACTGATTCAGATGAACAACTGAGAAAATGGAGGTCTAAGAATATGTTCTTGTTTCATGATTCCTGTATGTTAATTGTTAATTATGCCACATATCAAAATAGTTTGTCCAACCTGACACTCTTTAGAATTGTTGCAACTATTTGTCAGAATTATTAACTGATTGGTTGCATATAGAGGATTGTGTTTTACACATACAGGTTAGACAGATTATAAATTATATATCAGAATTGTAGTAGCTGATTTTATTCATATCAAAGTTTTTTTCAAAGGGTAAACTCTTTACAATTGTTTTCCACATAGCTCCTATATAAATTAATCACAGAATATCAATTATTTTTAATATAATTGTGCTATGAAAGAGCTGCCAGGAAGCTATTGTTAAACTAGTTTCTTATTATTAGCTTTCTGGGAAAATTATTTTTAATTTTCAACACCTGTTTTATCAGTAAACTGTGAAAATGTTCTTTTCTTCTTTCTTGTCTGTAACAGAGTCCCTAAACACCTACATAACAACACATCATTTTGTTACACAGAAGAGACCACAAATGCCTTCCTAAGGGATTGTTACAGATCAGATTCCTAAACCTTCAAATTCTACTGTATTGCTCAAGATCTGATTTGTAATATTTGAGTTCAAGCTTTTACCATTTAAGAAAGCTTTGCTCTCAGTGTTTTAGTCCTGGCACAAATTTGCAAATTGTGCCAGATCATATAGATTAATTACTATTAGATTTACAGCAGATTATTTTCTAAGGGATCAATATTTAGATTTTCCAACTCATGTTTCTTGATTATCAGTTTTGTAATACAGGTCACTAAAAGGATGCTGCATGAACATAATTTTATTTTCCTTCTAGTATACAAGAGGTACTGTAAAAGACTTCTCTGGATTTGATGCCAGAGCTGATGCTGAAGCTCTTCGCAAGGCAATGAAAGGATTGGGTAAGCAGAAGCAAAATAATGCCCCATTGAAACTTTTCCCTATATACAGTTACTATTGTGTGAAAAGGAGTGTGAACTCTCATCCCTCTCCTTCCTGTCTACCGTGCATTTGGGCTCAAATTTCAGTAGCAGAGACTCTTCATTGTGTAGGCTTCCTAATGAACTAGGCTCAGGAACTAATTAGTTCAGGGAATGTTCAGAAATAGAGTTGGCTTCCTGCTGCAGTGTGAACATTAGACAGACAGACAGAGTAAAATAATGTTCAAGGATGTAGGATTATTTCTCTTTACAGGATTCTGATTGGATGTGAGATAAAATTGAAAATAGACCTTAAAATGGTCTACTGGCAGGATTAGAAATATATCAGTATGGTCACCAAGTTCTCTTTATGCTTTGGCTTGGCATTATTTTCATTGGTATTTGCGTAAGCAGACATTAATAGCAATAGTACTTAGACTTATATACCGCTTCATAGTGCTTTACAGCCCTCTCTAAGTGGTTTACAGGGTCAGCATATTGTCCCCAACAATCTGGCTCCTCATTTTACCGACCTTCGGATGGATGGAGAGCTGAGTCAACCTTGAGCCGCCCAGGATGACACATTGAGAAAACAGTCATTAGAATGGGAAGGGACCATTTAGGCCATTGAAACAAATCCTTATATAGTATAAGAATCCAAATTAAATCATTGCCAGTTTCTTCAGTATCTCTTCATAGTCCCCTTATGCAGGGGTGAAATCCAGTAGGTTCTGACAGGTTCTGGAGAACTGGTAGCGGAAATTTTGAGCAGTTCAGAGAACCAGTAGTGGAAATTTTGAGTAGTTTGGAGAACCAGCGAATACCACCTCCTGCTGGCCCCAGAGTGGGGTGGGAATGGAGATTTTGCAATATCCTTCCCCTGGAGTGGGGAATAAAATGGGGATTTTGCAATATCCTTCCCCTGGAGTGGGGAGGGAATGGAGATTTTGCAGTATCCTTCTCCTGCCACGCCTACCAAGGCACGCCCACCAAGCCACACCATAGAACCGGTAGTAAATTTTTTTAGATTTCACCACTGTCTTGTTGCCACTGTTGCTCTTTGAACATGTTCTATTTTTTCTGAATTATTAAATGGCGCTGCCTAAAAGTTTACATATATGAATAGTAATTAGACTCCATAGTGCTTTACAGCACTCTCTGGGCAATTTACAATGACAGCATATTGCCCTCAGCAATCTGGCTCTGCATTTTACTGACCTCAAAAGGATGGAAGGTTGAGTCAACTTTGAGCCCCGTCAGGATCAAATGTCAGGCTGTGGGCAGAGCCTGCAATGCTGCATTCCCCTGTGTCACCAGGGCTCCTTGGATATACTACCCAGGTTGGATAGTATATGTAACTATAGTATATGTTAATATTAATCTGTAGTCGTATATGTAACTATTAACCTTTACATTTCAACACTATTTCAATTGAACTATGTAGAATGTCTATGGGGATTCTTAATCATTCAGGTCATGGCTGTCCCAAAAGTTTTCCCCCCAAAGAACTGAAGAAGCTTCTTGGATGAGAAGTGAAATATTTTCAAAGAAAAAAACCAAGAAAACAAAGTTGCCTTTTGAAAAAAGCTTATGTAGAATCTTTTTCAAGACAATAGAATTGTTGTTTCAGTGTTTAGGTTTTTTTTAAAAACTGGAGTTCCTGAAAAGTTAATGACTGTCTCATTATCTTTATCTTAACTTTTAGTCATACAAAAGAAATATTGATTTAACTTCATCTTAACTTTTATTAATACAAAACAAATTCTGAAGGCCAGATAGTGAATAGGAAATAGATGGTTTATTCAAACTTGTTGATTTATACTGTCAGGCTCAAGCATCCAGAATCACTTGGGGACAGTCTCCAAAAGAAGCTTTATCACTAGTCACATATGTTGCAAGAAATCTTGCCAGATTGGCTGCATTTCTTTGGTAATGGTCGGATAAGGCTTTTAAGGACTCTAGGGGAGGTCAGACCTGTGCCACTTCCTGCAGTGCAAGAACTCCAAGCTCAGCCCCCTCTTAACACTTCCTTCAGTCTAGTTCAGTCTAGATTCCACCACGTATATTGGCTTAGTCTCCAAAAAATATGGAGGCAAACGGCGTGTTGAAATGTGGAGGAAACACTTCTATGAAAGTTTTTGCTAATCAGTAGTGCTTGCTTATTCAAATACAGTTAGCTGTGCAATCTTGTTCATGGTTTTGTTTTTTATTTTTTGTTTTTGAATGAGGGTACATACACATGCCTTCTGTTGTGAAAGTTGTCACATAATTAAATCCAATTGGCTACCTAATTATGTGGTGTCACTCAGAATTACTTTAAGTTCTACTGCTAGTTTTTGCTTTTTTTTTCTTTTAAAAGATGCTCAGGCAGTGAATTTGAAAAGCAGTAACTGACTCACAGGTACAGTGGTGACAAAAAGGTAGCTTTGAGACCAATCCTTGCATTTATGGCCTTCATAGGGATGTAAAGCAAAGGAAAGCTGAAATAATTGTAAAATCACAATGTTTTACTTAGTGAGTGCTTTCCTTAATGACTGAGTTGCCGATCCCAGTTGTGGTCACTTAAGAAGTGAGGACTACCTTTACATTAATATAGAGTTTTCCAAGTAAGAGATGATTTCAAGAATAGAACTATATGGACATACCTAATGTGTTCGTTTACATTCATTCATAAACTATTGCTGTTTTTTCAATGAATGATTTTATTTAACTTGCATAATTTAAGGAACTGATGAAGATCCAATCTTGAAGATTCTAACGGGCAGAACCAATGCTCAACGCCAGGAAATTGCAGTACAATTTAAAACTCTTTTTGGCCGGGTAAGGATTCTACTTGTGCTTTTTCATATTATAGATGGTTATTTTTGGTTGGCTGGTTATTACTTGTTTATTTCTCTCACTTTTCATTTCTGTGTACACACAGAAATACCCACACCTCCATGCATTTATATGGAATATTAATAAGGCAAGTTCTAGATGCAATAACTAGAACTGAAAGATAGTATTGATATATATATATATGTATGTATGTATGTATGTATGTATCTACCGTGTTTCTCCAAAAAGAAGGCTGGGTCTTACTTTCTTTTGACCACTGAAAAAACGGCTAGGCCTTCTTTTTGGAGGGTTCTAATCATTGACGGTAGTGGCACCAACAGTCCTGTCCAGCAGGAGCCCGCTGCTGGTCCACTTCTTCTGTGGCCGTTTGCCACCACTCACACGCATCGCCCTGATCTCCATTTTGCATTCAGATGCCTGGTGGAAGGCATCTGCAGCTGATAACAGAGCTCCGGATCCAAAGAAGAAGCAGCCGCAGAAAAAAACAAGGCAGGTGGAGTCTGTGAGGCCTGGTAATTAGGGCAGCTCCACCCCCCTATCCCCACCCTAGTTTATTTTTTACCTGTGTGCCTCGTCCCACCCCCTGCACCCCGGGGTGGGTGGGGTCTTAATTAGGGCTAATTTTGTGGGTGGGGCTTAATTTGATCTCATGCGCTCAAAAACATGATAGGCCTTTTCAAGGTTGGTCATCTTTTTGGAGAAACTCTGTGTGTGTGTGTGTGTGCGCGCACACACACACACACAGACACATATATCTCCATTTATATGGAATATTAATAAGGCAAGTTCTAGATGCAATAGCTAGAACTGAAAGATAGTATTGTTATGCATTTCTCATTAATTACTCATTCTTCATTCTGTCATTTAGGATTTAACCGATGACCTTAAATCGGAACTTACAGGCAAACTGGAGACGCTCATGGTTTCCCTGATGAGACCTGAACGGATTTATGATGCACATGCACTAAAACATGCCATTAAGGTAAAATGAATGGCACAACTTTAAATTAAAAAGTTTGTTTATTTAGAATGGATTCTTTCCTTTTAATTCTGATGTTAACAGTTATGACAATTGATCTGTTTGGTTATAGTGTTAGTTTTCATTGTAATAAAATATATTTTCAAATCAACAGATTTTAGCATTACCTGTGGGCTTGAATAAGAGTGTTGTTATAAAACTATGGATAATATAATGTTCAGGTAACAATGCACCTTTTAAGTTACATTGATGGTTGAATTTCAGTTTATGCTGCTTTGCATTTATTGGGTGGTTTTTAAGCAGCTGCTTACAACTGTTTTGTATTAATTAAATACACTGTTTAGAAAGAAGTAAAGAAAGGGCAGAGGAAATCTGTGTCCAGGATAGGAATCGGCTAAATGCTTACAGAAAAAGGCAAACTGTATTTGAAGATAATAGCCAACTTTTATTCTTTTTTTGCCATCGTTTGATATTTTGAAGGATATTTTGAATGTTTCTGCTTACTGAATTAAAATGGCAACTGTGTGTGTGCGTGTGTGTGTGAGAGAGAGACAGACAGATTAGTAGGACCCATGAAATTGAAAAGGGAAAGAAGATTTTGGAAAAGAATGACAGTTGCTCAGTGCCCAGAGAATTGACAAAAAAAAAAAAAAGAAAGAAAGAAAAAAAAAGAAAAAAACAGTAAATAGAAACTGAATGGAAAAAAGTATCTTTGGAAGGGAGGATCAGACATATGGACTATATTTACATATTGCTGTAAATTATATTTTGTTAAACAAAACATAATGACCTGGGATTTTGAATAATCCCAGTAACAAAAGTAAAGTGTGTGATAAGGAATTGACCAAGAATGTAAGTGTATAAATGTAGAATGAATGAATCAGCAGTATTGATGCTACCCATTCAGAGGAATAAATTCACAAATAGAAGAAACACTGCCATCCCCAATTTCTTAAGAGGGTAGATGCTCATTAGATAGTTGCTATTTGATGGTGAAAAAAAAGATGATAAAAGTGGAATTAAATGGTGAATAAGCACACCTGAACAAAATCATTTCATACTGAAACATTTTGCTGCAGTCCCAATTATTAAAGGCTCATAATAGCAAGAAACTTCTATTTGGTTAATTCAACTGAATATGCAAGTTCTGTAATATGCAAGTCGTGGATAACAATATTTTTGTTGACAGTTTTCTGCTGTCATTCAATTCCAAAGTATTCCATGGAACCTTGTGATAGTAGGTAATTTCGTGGTATGTAGTATTACAGCCAAATATTGATTTTTTAATGCTAATATTTGAAGAAAGATAGATACAGTTTAACTTACTGAATCAGTGGAAAAAAAACCTAACACTTAGGATTTTATTCAAGTGACAACATCAAGAAGGTGCTGGACACAAAAAAGAAGAGAAGTAGGTTGGGAAATCAGGTGATTTGTCTTCCTCTTCTCTCCCACAGAAGCAGTTGGGAACTTTGGAAAGGAATTTTATGGCAGTCACTCTGTGTTAATGATTAAAAATGTACTGTTAATTTCATATTGATTGCTGAGTGACTAGATCTCTTTAGCTTTTGAAGTTTAGAACAAGCAGCCATTGACTATTTGTCCCAGGCCATTCAATTGCACTATTTTTTTCTTTTCCACTTCAGGAACTAGAACTAGACATTTGTCAGGAAGTTTCCATCTGGAGAGCTCATGACTATTATCCATCTCTTTGGAAGTGTAGGTGCATTTATGGGAACCTGTCAGGGTGAGAAATGGTAGTTATCTGGATACCTGAAGAGGGGCCATTTTCTCATTTACCAACCTATCTACATGCTGTGGTAAAGATCTTGTTTGGGATCCCATTCTCTGAAAGTAATTTCCAAGGCTATAGTGGGTGACTTCAAACCAATGGGTTTTATATGATCCCTTGGCAACCCTGTTGATACCCCAGAACCCTTAAATCACACTGGAAAGTTTAGCCATTTTTTCCAAGTTTCTAAATTGTGCTATGCTGTAATGTTGCCTTTGTTTCTCCTTAGTGTGATATGTGAACCCAGCCAGTGTCCCTTGTTCATCAACCACAGTTAAAATGAATCCCGCTTAGTATAATATGAATTTTTAAGTATTGGGTGTTTGTGTTTTTGTATGCTATTGTTATTGAAACCAGCCATTTCTCATTAATATTATCAAATAAACCAAGATTGAAATGTTTAGCGACCATTAGTAATTATGATGGCACTAAAAAAGTGACTTATGATATTAAACTGTCATACCATCCTCTCGGTCATAGGATTTTCTTTTATGACCTTCCCAAATGGCTTCTGACCTGAAAAGTCAATGGGGAATCCAGCAGGAAGTATCACACGTCATGGTCATATGATATCTCACTTAATGACTGCACTACTTAACAATGAATTTTCTGGTCCCCTTTGTGGTTGTAAATTGAGGACTACTTGTATCTTCTAGTTACTACACTATTACTTGGTTACAGCTGGATCCAAAATAAGGCTATATCACTGACCTGTTATTTCCAAAGTGAGTGAAATAGTAGGATAGTGACCATGTGAATATAGGTTTTTTTCCTGTTAGTTGTGTAAAACAGCTACCTGATCTCTTTACTCTAGTTGTACCCACTTCTATAACCCTTATTGTATCAACTGCCAGTTATGAAACATTCCTATAAATTTTACAAAAATACTTATTCTACGCAGAAGTGTTTCCAATATATGGTAGAGATTTATGGTATATTTCATTCCAAAATCCCCAAAGCAGGAAAATAAATTGCTATTGGTTGCCCTTCATGAAATTGCCTATATAGTAGTAGAGCAAAACTAACTTGTGATGCTAAGTCAGAGAAAAGCTGATCCCAAAAATATATTCCTTTCACAGGAATTCCTTGTATGTGTATGAATACTAGAACAAAGATGCAACTAAATGTATTGGCAGTTAAGTAAGTTACAATTAACTAAATGCAGGAAGATGGAAATATATTAATGTAATTATTAGAGTGGTTTAGGAAGGCCAGATGCTAGAAGAAAGAAATCTGCATAGTTTAAGAATAAATCCTTTATATAGTTCTAATCTGAATATAGCTCTTTGCATTCTATCTGTGTATACATTTTTATAGGTTTTATGCAGACTGGAATACCAAACAAGATCAAATAATACAGTTTCCTTCATTAAACATAAGATGGTTTTACTACTTGCTGAAAAAATATGACAATTAATGTTCAAATGTTCAAAAAGCAATCCTGGCAGACAGATTTGTTAATTATAATAACAAAAGTCCATTTTTATTAAACAGTTGTTAATTTATAATTTATAATTTAACAAATAAACAATAGTAACAAAATTCTACTACTGCCAAAAGTTTTTAATTTTTCTCTTATTCACTCCAAGAGTTGGCAGGAGACATACATATAGAAAGTGAATGAAAAATGGGCTTAAGGACGTAGTAACCTCTGCATCTGAGGTGAAATATTTGCTGTCTCACTGCATACCTAGATGCTTGGAATACCTTACAACAAGATATAAAGGAAAGAAAAGCAATCTGAACTTTTCTGAACTAAAAAAAACTGCTCAGAAAAATCTGTTGGACAAAAGGACTGTAACAGGAATTCAAATTTCAGCAGTAAGCCTTGCCACATTTCCTGTATGAATCATTTGGAATCTATTTATGTTGGTTCCCCCACCCTTATGGATCATATGGTTAGGCATTCTTGAACTAAGAAATAAGCATTCTTGAACGTTATGGATGTCAGCACTAGAGTAAATGCAGGAAATGCAATTTATTTTATTTGAGATGACATCGAAACCTGACAATGAATTTATTTCAAATATATTGGAGTTATCCTAGTATTTCTTTACATTTTGGTTATAAAGTAAATTTTTTGATCTGGTATGGCAGCATAAAAGCAGAATTGTAGAAAGAACTGTAAGTCAGTTAATACTTGTTAACTGACTATTAATACAACTGTATTAATACAACTAATACAGTTGTTAATACTATACTAAGAAAAATGATACGATTTCATGAACTCATTACATTGATTTCAGGGGGCAGGAACTGATGAACAAGTCTTGACTGAAATTCTTGCATCTCGGACACCTGCTGAAATCAGGAATATAAAGCACGTTTATCAGGAAGGTAACTTTTGGGTGTGGGAGTGTGGCATGTTTCTGGGGTGGAGAATTTGTAGAGGCTTAGATCTTTTAGCCAATTTTTTCAATACAATATGTTCTATGCAGGGATAACTGCTTATGCCATTCTGAAATTTAAAATGAATGGCCTTTGAATAAAGGAAACATTTAGTCATGTATAACTCTTAACAACTGGAATGTTTTTATTTTTAACTTCAAATTTTGTTTAATAATGCATATGGTGTTTGATTTTCTTTCCAGAATATGAAGCCGATTTAGAAGATCATATCATATCAGATACTTCTGGCTTCTATCAGCGAATGTTGGTAGTTCTTCTACAAGTAAGCTCCTAAGATTGAAATCAGATAAATGGTTCAGAAATTGACTTGCTCTTATATTAACTTGTGTTCCTTGGATATTTGGGACTGGACTTCAGAAACATACTGCAGGCTAGGGGGCTTTGTTGAGGAAGAAGAAAGGAAGGGTAGGTGAATGGATAGAGATGGTTTGGAAGTCACATGCCTCTCTGGAGCTGCAAGATAACTAACCTGATGTATCTTTCTTTTCCAAATTATGACAAAAGTAATACCATGGATGCGTTGATATTTTTGTTTTTTATCTCTTGAGTTGACTTCCATCTTTCTGTCCTTTTGGATACATATCCTCTAGTTGTGGCTGCATTTTTAATAGCACTAGTAGTTTAGGGCACTTTGCCATAGAGTTTATTCAGGTTAGTATCCAGTATTGTACAGGAATCACTTGGGCTATGTGCAAAACATAAGCTAAGAAAGAAAGAATAAAGGGAAGAGAAGGAAGGAAGGAAGAGAAAGAAAAAAGAAAGAATCCAGATATACTTGACCATGACATAATAACCACTGATTTTTAAATATTATCTAATTATAGTCTAGATTCACAGAGTCATAGATCTTTTTCTTGTACTCCATTTAGGCTAACAGAGACCCTGATGGCCAAATTAAAGAAAGTCTAATTGAGCAAGATGCTCAGGTAGGTAAAGATTTCGTCTTTCTGTTTCATCAAAACATATCTAAAATGGCACCATCAGGACATTAGAAAGTAAGAGATCTCAAGTGATTGAACAAGCTTGATTCTAGTATGGAAAAATACTGGCAATTTTTTCAGTTAAATGTCTGTTGTAAAGAAGCCAGGAATTTTAGCTATTTTTTACAATTGTATAATTACTGCATTATAAATAATATTAAATAAGTATATATACACAATAAAGAAGTAAATAAATGAATCACTTTTTGGAATCAGTGCTAGATCCCAGTGTCTCCTTGAATTGTATGGTTCCATTCTCAAACTATCTGAGGTAAATTATTTCTAGTTTGAATGTTTATGTGTGTCTGCAAGTAGGCTTTTGAGACAGCAGACATTTAGTTTTAGAAACATTAAAAATTGAGACACTTGACTCCATTCCTCAAAATATCTCTGGAACATGGTATGCTGGAAAAATGAAAAAGTTGGCAACAAGATCTTAAATAGTTTATAATTTATATCCCCTTTTAAAAATTGGAAATAAGGGATATGTTTTGCATTTTCATGTTTCCAAAAGACATCAGTTTGAAATGCTGCCCTGGAGATCTGCACAGGATACATTATTTTTTTACTGAAATCTATAAATTGTTATCTAAGTAAATGGCAGTACCTAATTGACCTTGATTGATCATAAAAAGGCGAGCTGAATCAGCCATAATTAAAAGGACTTGAACAGGAGACAACTACCCAACCATTACCCTATTGTTATAGACTTGGAGGTCCAATTTCTTGAAGTCTAAGTAACTACCTGGGGCTGGCATCTACTCAGCAAAACTAGTTACTTTTTAACCTGTAACTCCAGTTGATATCTTTATATGAAATAGGAAAAGGAGAAGGAATGTTCAGGCTTGCTTTATTTGCAGAGAGGTTCTGCTAAATATGAGTGTCTCACTTTTTTTTTAATAACTTGGTATATCAGTATTATATAATTGTCAGTATTAAGGGCTTGAGATTGTAGGAGTTGGAAGTCAAATATATATGGGAAACCACCAGATGGAGACGATGGTACTATATTGTACTGGTTGATTTGATGTATGACATATAATTAATATTACGTAGAGTATATGAAGGATTTAAAAGAAGGAGTGCTAAACTACTTGCCTAACATTATTTCAAAGTAATTTTAATTCAGAGCATATAAGTGTTCCAGGAATCTTAGGGAAGCAAAGATTCCAGTGAATAATGTTTTCCATTGTTCTGTTAATATTTGGTTTACAATTGTGAAAAAGGAGTGGTAGTAACCAATAATTTTGTTGCTCATAGAATTTCATATTTCTTCTTAAATCAGATAAGCTTTACAGTTAATTATAGCAATTTAACTGTTTCTTCATAGGATAGTGTTTTCTGTCAACAGATATTTAAGTTTTAGATGGTTGAGAAATGTATGCTCCCACAGAAAAAAGAAGATAAAATTGGCCACCTATATGTTGCTCTTGCCTTCACACATTGTTTGTTCTGTACTTTTGATGCCTTGTTTGATACAGATCTTAGTATTGTGCCAGCTAAAAAATTGTACATGAATATCTTCTTTGTGTAATATATATATATCTTTCCTTTCCTTTCCTTTCCTTTCCTTTCCTTTCCTTTCCTTTCCTTTCCTTTCCTTTCCTTTCCTTTCCTTTCCTTTCCTTTCCTTCCTTTCCTTTCCTTTCCTTTCTTTCCTTTCCTTTCCTTTCCTTTCCTTTCCTTTCCTTTTCGTAGATCTTTATGTGTATTTCTCTCAGCCAGGTTCTTCCTATGTAAACCAAGATTTTTATGCAGCCCTAGTTCAGTGAAATCCCAATCCACTAGTTTCTAGGCTTTTTTTTTTTTTTTACAGGGAGGATACATGGGATGAAGGTATGGCTAATTGATTAGGGCTTATAAGTCTGAAATAGATCTATCTTAGTCTCCTTAGTCTCCCAATGGGCAGCAGGGAGCTTGCTGGCTGCTGAAAAAAAGCCTAGAAACTAGTGGATTGGGATTTCACTGAACTAGGACTGCATAAAAATCTTGATTTACGTAGGAAGAACCTGGCTAGAGAGAAGTACATACATACATACATACATACATACACATACACATACATACATATGTATGTATGTATATGTATACGTTTGTGTGTGTATGTATGTGTGTGTGTGTGTGTGTGTGTGTATATATGTTTTCGTAGATTTTCACGGGTAGAGGTATGCAAGTTTTGGTGTATTCGGGTCTTTTCCCATGTAAGATTGAGAGTATCTTGGCGACGTTTCGACGAGGTCCCACTTGTCATCTTCAGGCTGGTGCCTTCGGCGAGCTTTGCTCGCACAGGCACGAAGCCGAAGGCACCAGCCTGAAGATGACGAGTGGGACCTCGTCGAAACATCGCCAAGATACTCTCAATCTTACATGGGCTAATACCCAAATATATATATATGTATATGTATATGTATATGTATATGTATATATAAATCATTTTAGAAAATATTTGAATTATCATGAAGCGTCACATGATGCATCATCTGCATTCCAATGTGAAGCTGTTGTCTCATGAGAAAATTAGAAAGGACAAAAATGGTTCTTACTGAGATTGGTTGAATGAGATTGGAGTTGAAGGCCCTCACATTTGGAGAGTAGCAGTATTGGGAAGACTGTGATTGGGAATCATATTGAAGTGGCCAAAAGAATGAATGCAAAAATACTAGTTGTGTTAAGGATGGTGCAAAAGTCCTCTGGTAAACTCATAATCTAATATTGGACCCTTATCTAAGATAAGTGTTGTCTTTATGACCCTTGATTTTATGTAGAACACAGAAAAATCTTACTATTTCTTTTCATTAATAACAATGAACTTTCTTTTTATTCTAACAGGAGCTGTTTAGAGCTGGGGAACTGAAATGGGGAACAGATGAAGAAAAATTTATCACCATTTTGGGAACTCGAAGTATATCTCACTTAAGGAAGGGTGAGTAGTACTAAGAAGAGTAGTGATGGGTGTTTTTAATAACGACTTTAATAAATAGATACACACTAAGCTAGAATGTTATTTTTGTATATTTAAATTTTCTCCTTTTGTAGTTGACTTTAATTATCCTGCCCATATGTTGAGGAATGTGTATGAGTTTAGATGTATGTTTTATAAGCTTGTTTGAAGAAGCTAAAAGTAAGTAATATGTAATAATTAAAATGTAGATACTACTTTTACTTCTCTTTTAATCTTTCAGTTTTTGACAAATACATGACTATTTCTGGTTTTCAAATTGAAGAAACAATTGATCGTGAAACATCTGGTCCACTTGAAAAGCTGCTTCTGGCAATTGGTAATGTATAGTCCTATTCTTGATTAATCTTAAACTTGTATACTGTATACTAGGGCTGTGTTATCTAGCAACATAGATTCTATTAACTAAGTGGGTGGTCTCAAATCACTTCAGGACAGTGTTGTAGGAGAAGTTTCCTGTCAGTTTTTTCCTGCAACTCTGACCAAAGAACTTCCAGGCTGGGTGGTTTATGGATTGCTGACATACTCTGAAGTTGCCCAATCTGGAAGACCTTCAGACAAGTTATAGAGTCTTTGGACTGAGCATTTGCACTATAGACATCAGTTCTATTGCTCTGTAAGTTATAGATATGGTTTAAAGCCCCTTATTGCAAGCCCAAGAGGCACTGGGCTGAGCAGCTGTGAAATTGATGGTCATAAGCTGACTTTGTATAAAAAGGAACACCGCTTTGGGGGCGGGGGGCGAAAGCCCTACTAAGCAGGTATATACAAAAGTATAAAGGCTATTGCTTAACGCATTGTAAGCCGTCCTGAGTCTCCGGAAAAAGGCGGCATATAAATCAAACCAATAAATATTTAAATAAATACCATACAAGGAGCAGGTACCACCCATAGTCACCTAAGCAGTAGTAGCATGATTAGTAGCATATGGCTGTGTGTGCTCCAAATATGTTTTGGGACAAATATGCTCCAAAGCACAGCTAATTCCCCCCAGTAGTTGATGACTCCTAAGCAGTGTCACCATTTCTGCTCATATAAAGCCCCTTTAATTGTGAAGTTTCTGCTTGGTCACCAGTTAGCCAGTCAATGGAGGAGGGTAGTGACATGGCCATATTAGCCAGGAACTTTGGAAGTTCTTAGCTGGCTGGCCCATGTAAAAGGACAAGTTCCCTGAGAGGCCGTGGGTTGGTGATAACCATGTTGTATGCATGTTGCAGGTAGCTCTGCTGGGTCTCCTCTTTTTTTTTTTTTTTTGCCATGTACATGTATACATCTGAACTAGACTGTTGTTTCTCTGTGTCATATAATATATGTGGGTATATGCATATTTTTTTCTCAAGTTTATGTAGTGTATACTGGAGGTGGTGACCCTTTGAGAGCGGTATGCAACAAAATTTCATTTTAATGTATGCCAACTAGTGTACATTTAAAATGACAATAAAGTTAGTCTAAGTCTAATCTCTTCAGACCTGGGATGCTGAACAAGAGAGGACGGGGACAAGGGGAAGGGAAGAGAAGTAATTTGAAAGTATAGCAACATGCCAAAAATGAAGATGAAGAATGCTAAGTAAGTCAGAATGTAGCATTCTATTAAATTGGCATTTCTTAACTCCCAAAAACACATTTAACTGGTTTGTACCTGCTATGAGTTGGAAATCCGTTTATATTAAACTTCCCAATAGTACAAAGTATTGATGGTACAATTCCTCTACTATAAGGAGGGTTGGATTAAGAGAACAACTGGCTTAAAGTTACTCATAAACCCTTCAGTTAAATGAAGAACTAACCTGTGTCTTCTTTAGGCAAATCCAGTGTCAAAGATTGCACTAAAGTTCTGATCAGAGAATTGTCAAGGGTTGTTTCTGTTAAATTCCCAGTTTAAATAGGTAATAATGTGTGATAGAAATTGTGGATCAAATAATTTATTGTAAATACTTGAAAACTACTTTGCTGTGTTTAGGAGAATAAATGCCATTTATATAGCTATATGTCTTCTGATAAAGTAATGTTAAAATATTTTGTGATTCAAATAGATTGTTTTTCTTCTAGTGAAGTGTGTCCGAAGTGTTCCTGCCTATTTTGCTGAATGTCTCTTTTATGCAATGAAAGTAAGTATTTATCATTTTTAAACAAAGTCAACATCTTCAAGCACTACTATTTAAACAATCTCGCACTGACAATATCTACTTTCTTGCACGCAAATATTTTTGCTTGTTATTCCATGTATATTTATTCAGAAATAAGGCTGATTGGATTCAATGAATTTTATATTTTAAGAACACATCTGTAGGATTTCAGCCTCAATTTACTCTTGGAGATACTTGAAAAGGAGATAATAAAACAAAATGAGGAAAACATTTCATTTTATGGATTTTTCAGCTCTCTCGGTGTTTGTAACATATACAATATAGTATTTGAAATGTACATTTGAGTATTGAGTGGTAATTATTAGTTGATCTGATGTGAGTTGTTCATTATATAATCCATTTTCAATATATTGCTTAAAAATTTGCAGCAATTTCTATGTAGAAGTAATCATTTTTTTAGTTTTGTTGGTCTTTTTGTTTGGTCAATTTTTATTTTACCCGCATTGAAGTTGCATTACAGCAGGGGTTCTAAAACTACAGGTAATTTTCTCCAAGGGACTAATGTATATATTTTTTATTTATCAAATTTATTTGCCATTCATCTTGTGGTTTAGGAGACTCTGACTTGTGCATAGAGTGAAGCTAATGGACCAATTTGTAATTGCTTTCTTAGCAAGTTGAGAATCCAATTTAGGATTGTCCTTACTATAACACTGACAGAGTCTGGCTTTTTTTGAGGGTAATGACAGTATTCAAAGCTGGGAAAAAGGGTCATTGGGTCCAACAGTTTAAGAACTTTTGTTATTAAAGCAATAAAAGCTAAAAAATGAATTGTTCCTCTTAGGTTGCAAAAATTTCATATATCATGCTAAGTCATCGTTTAGTTTTAACTGTGGTTTGTTGAATAAGACATTCTGTCTCAGTGGCTCCAGTGGAAAGAATTGGGTAGAATTACTGTCCAGTGCCCTTAATTGATTACTTAACTTTGTTTTACTAGGGAGCAGGCACTGATGATGAAACATTGATCAGAATTATGGTTTCAAGGAGTGAAAAAGATCTACTTGATATCAGGCAGGCATTCAGAAGGGATTTTGCAAAAAGTTTGCACCATGTAATTCAGGTAAATTTTATCTTAACCATGATTATTAATTCACATTATTTGTTACAGAAAATACTGCTGCTTCATGTGATAATTTTCTTAAAGACTCTGTATGTATTACAGTCTGCCAAGCTTTGAGTTGTTTCTGCTTAGATTACAGTAATAAAAAGAGAAGAACTTTAATCATAGTTTGTTTTATTATATATTTTATTTATTTATATGTAAAATGTATGTCCCACTCTTCTTCTAGGAGCTCAAGATTTATACCCACCACAACTCTCTGGCATTTAGGGCTGAGATAATGATTGCTCCCAAATCACCTAATTAGCTTCTATAGCTGAGAGTGACCTTGAATCTGACATACCTGATCATTCCTCCTTAGCCTACCTAAATACTCATTCTTGTGTAGGCATTATATCAAGGGTAACAGCATATTTAAACTTTTTTTTGTTAGTACATACCATTTACTACTAGTAGTATTTGTAGATAGTGTTGGTTTTGCAGCTGTAGATTTCTGATGAACAAAAATACTTTAATAGAATGTGTACATCATATGATTAGAGAATAGTCATACAAATAGCAATACTAGAAAAATGGTCCTTTTTTGAAAATATATGGACTCATTGTTGGTTGATCCTTTATAGAAAGATACATCTGGTGACTACAGAAATGCGCTTCTGCTGCTGTGTGGAGGAGAAGACTAGTGAAGTCTACAATAACACAGAGGACAGAATCTCAAATCATGCCTTGTGCCTTTTCCCAGTTATATGGCATTTACATAGATCTGCAGTCTTGTTTGTATCCATGCTGGCCTTTTTATGCCAGAAGCAGTGTACTGTTGTTAGTCACATATTATGATGCTTCTTCTTGCACTGGCTTGCTTACGTAGGATTATTTTCCTTACCAGGAAAGTTATGTTGCTTCATGCATTTATTTTACATAATTGAAATTTAAAATCAATGGAACAAATTTGGACCCAATATTTCATGTGTACATTCCTTATTGAAAAAAAAATTGACAAAAGTGCCTTTAAATAAATGTGTTTTTATTTTTGAAATCAAAAGCCCGAAATCGGGGGTGCTTGTAGGCAAAGCTTTTATTATGCAATTAGTGCTTACTAAAGTTTCACAGTGGGCCCAGATGACACTGTTTTCCTGGAGGAACTTACCCAGAGTTTTCCACTGCTGTTTCTGACTGTTTTCTTCACAGAAGAGGAAAAGCTATAATATCATATCCTTTTGAGAATATAGTGTTCATAGTTGGCTATCTAGGAACATCCCTCCATTTCAGCAAAAGTGGAAGTAAAATACATTCCAAGAAACAAAACCAAATTTCCTCTTAGATAAACTTGCACAATATATCTTGCACTTTTTACTCATTGTAAAGAACATTTCTGCTAATAGATTTAAAATAGTGAGCTATGCATTAACTGTCCTCATGTAATGTGATTTTGGTACAATTAAAAATGTTTATAATCTACTAAATGGCTAAGTTGTCTCTATGGTACCCTGAGGATCAATAAAAGGAATACAGCTAGGCGCCCTGTGAATAAACGGGTTTACTTAAGCTTAAAAAATGTTTTCCACCTTGTTGGAACTATCTTTAACCACTAAAAAGCTTTATTCACAATCTCTGGGTCTTTTATAATTTCAGTGTAGGTTTTTTGTATGCTTACATTCTCCTGAAGATAAGAAACATTTTGAAAATGTATCAATATTGAATAATATGCCTTGTATATTATTTCAAGAAAATTGTGTAGAACACAAACATACATATTGAGGGAAACATCTAAGTTAGTAAATATAAATATCTAACTGATATTCCTGCTTTAATAAACAGTGTAAAATATCTCTAAAGGCAAAGGAGAAGGGGCACTGGTTCGCCGACGTGTTCAAATGCCATAAAGCTAAAAAATTACTGCTATGTGAGGATAAAGTATTACAGTTAATAGTACGTAGTTTCTGTCCTATTGCCAATATTAATGCTATTATGTTGAAGGGTGTGGTGAGAATACTGTTCTGTACTTCAATTAGGAATAAACTTTGAAGTTTAGAATGGGAACATCTTTAACTTCTTCAAGCAGGAGTGGCAGTATCTCATTTTGTGTATAATCCTTAAGTGATTTATTTTACTCTTTATCCTAACCTTTTGCTGGACAATGGAAAAGAGGAGCTGCGGTTTTCTTGAGCAATAGAATAAAGAATGAATAGGGACAGGCTTCTCAGACAAATGCAGAGTAGTCTGAAACACTTCCAAGTTGAGCATTTGTACAACTGTTATTATATTTTGCAAAATAACTTTATCCAGAGGTGTTGACACTCAATGAATCATCAAATGGTAACAATGTTTATGACACTATTACAGTGAGAACATTACTGGATGCACCTACATTTTTAAAAGTAATGATTAAAACTAATGAGGGAGGTAGAAATTGCTAAAACTACCAACCATGATCTGAAGGTGGGGAAAAAAGCATTCAAATAAAGGTAAATTTCACAATGCAGATTACTGAAAATACTGATATTGCAGGATACATTTATTGCTTAATATAATAATATTAAGCCTCAGGAATAGGGCATTATCTGGGGTTAAAGAGGCATTCTTGTTTAACCCATGCTACACAAAAAGGGATTTTTGCTTCCTGATCACATAGGTTTGCTGGCAGGGGACTTCTGGAAATTGAAGTCCAGACATCTTAAAATAACCAAGATTGAGAAACACTCTACTATGGGATCTAGAAAGCAATGTAGACTCTTGGACAAGCCTAATACAATTTCATCCTGCCTCTCAACAGACCTGCTTTGAAACTGCTGAAGGTCTCAACTCTGCACCTAAAAATGTGAAGTGATACAGTGTGATTGTAAATCACTTGGTTACATGAAGATATTTAAGAACCCAAAAACCTGAAAAGCATACTTTAAAGTTTATACAACCTAGTTTCATAAAGATGCTGATTCATGGTTTATTTTCTTTGTTCCTCATCATCCATCAACATTATTTCATTTAATCAAATTTATTTATTTATTTATTTGTTTAAATTTCTATACCGCCCTTCTCCAAATAGGACTCTTATCTTGTTCAGACCTATCCAACCCTTTTTCTATCTCTGCTCATTTTCCATTTTAAAGAAAATTAGAAATAATTTTCAGCTACATTCAGTTTTAACTTTCTTTGGTATCAGAGGGAAAGGGCGGGGGGAGAGAAGCTTTCACTATTAACATTGATGTTAGCCCTTCAAGGTAGGTCAGGCCAGGAAACATACTCTGCAAGAAATATTGGAATTTTGTTTTATGTTGTCTATAGTCACAGAAGTCATGAAAGTCTGGTATTACTTTCCCTCTTTCTTATACCAAAGAAAATGAAAGTGGAATTATTTTAAGATGCTTCTTAATGCCTTAAGACCATATCAGGCCTGGATGGAAATGGCATTGGTCAAGTTTTTTAATGATCTCCAGGAATGGGATGGGGGTAGTGCAACCATCCTTGCTTTGCTTGACCTCTCGGCAACCTTTGATACCATTGACCATGGTATCCTTATAGAGCGGCTTGGAGGGCCTGGGAGTGGGAGGGTTCTGTGTTGTGCTGGTTCACTTCTCTGCGGCCGCTCTCAGAATTGATTGGAAATGAGAGGTCTATCCCTTATCCACTGCTTTGCGGGATTCCACAGAGCTTGGTACTTTCTCTGCTTCTGTTTAATATCTACAGGGAGCCACTGGTTGAGATAATCCATCACCATGGACTGAGATATCAATATGCTGATGGTACTCAGCTGTTTGTCTCAGGCTATGGTGAGCTAAGCGACGCAATGACGTCTCTCTTCTAGTGTAGGGCTAGAATGGGGTGTAATGGGCTGAAATTGAATTCTGACAAAACCTGGCTTTGGATTTGGGATTCTTTGATCAATGGAGAATTGCCATCTTTTGTCTTGGATGGGGTGGAACTTCCTCAAACAGACCCAGTGGGTAATTTGGGGGTTCTCTGGCCTTATGACTCTTGGTCAAAGAGTAGGTGGCAGTCATGACCAGGAGGGCCTTTGCACAACTAGGTTGTGTGCCAGTTATGTTCTTTCTGGACCAACAATCCCTGCTCACAGTCAGTCACGCCCTAGTCACCTCCCATTTTGACTATTGCAATGTGTAATATGTGGGGTTGCCCATGAAAACCATTCAGAAACTCCAATTGGTTCAAAATGCAGCGGCTGCATGGTTTTGTGCAGATCTAGATATGCACATGAGGCATTTCTCCCGTGGGAGCGTCATTGGCTACTGATTTGCTTCCAGATGCAATTCAAGGTGCTAGTTGTCATCTCTAAGGGCTTTCATGGTTTGGGATCGGGTTATTTGAAAGACCATTTCCAACAGATCCAGTAGAGTAGGGAGGCAGGGGATGTTGCAGGGCCTTTCTCAGTACATCTGGCGAAACCTAAAAGAAGGGTCTTCTCCATGGTGGCTCTATCCCTTTAGAACAGCATCCCTGCAGAGATTAGACTGGCCCCCACTTTCACAAAGACCTGAAGACCTGGTTCTGTCAATAAGGCTAGGGAACCCAAAGCGGGATGGCACCTATCAGGTGGTTTGTTTGTGTGTTTTCACCAGGGGTGGTGGTGGGGGATTACTGTTTTTTATTATTTTATATTGGTTTTTTATTGTTTGTAAGCCATCCAGAGTCACTGAGAATGAGTGGGTGGCCATATAAATAAAATAAATGAAGGGAAAGGGAAAGGGCCAGTCATTTCTGACTCTAGAGGGCAGTGCTCATCTCTGTTTCTTAGCCAAGAGAATCAGCATTGTCCAAAGACATTTCTGTGGTCATGTGATCAACATGACTATACACTGAAGCAATCAGAACACTTACCTTCCTACCAAAGTAATACCTATTTATCTATTTGCATTTGCATGCTTTCAAGTTGCTAGGTGGGCAGGAGCTGGGGCAAGTAATGGGAGCTCACCTTGTTGTATGGTGCTGGATCTCAAACCAGAGCCATCACACACCCATAAATAAACAAACAAACAAACAAATACTTTTAAGTATGATCGTTTGACTATTTATATAACTACTGTGGATTGTGTTGTAGCTTATTAGTAAACCTTGACTTGTTTTTGGCTTGGAAATGGACATTGCTTTTACCCTTGAACTTTCTCCTCCTATTTATGCTCTGCTTCCTTTATTTAAAACCACATTTTTCCTCTACAGGATTTGTAAATTCTGAGGTATGTTTTGATTAAGTGGTTTGTAAGCCAAGATTTATGCTTCAACATGTTTGAGAGCATAAGCAAATGTACTTTATTCAATAAACTTTTGGTACACTATCATGGATTAATGAATGTGAATATTTGGCCAGTGGCTTTATCTTTGTCCATATTAACAGCTAGATATGTGGCTGACCAGAAGATGGTGCTGGTGAGTTATTTATGTCTTTATCAAGTTTTCGGTGATCCAACTTTTTAAAAAATTTTCAAGCCAGTAAGGTTGTGTTTCCACAATCTCAGTTTCTAACCAGTAGACATCAACCTCTTTTTAAAGATATGTTTTCATTCTGTCTAAAATGAAAGTATCCTATGTAAATATTAATGCTTTTCTGAAATTTAAAAAAAGGAGCTTCATTTATTTATTTAAGAAAATTTATATTGCTGCCCAACTCAATGTCAGTGACTCCCAGGGATTTACAAAGGTAAAAAGCTAGTATAAAAACAATAAAAAGCAGTAACGTTCACTCCTTTGATACTAGATAAGTTTAGTTTCTAATTAAACAGATACACCAGAGGGGAGAGTTAGTCATCTGCATTTACTAAAACAAGCCAAGAAACACAGCAAAAATGATCGTTTTGCCAATTGAGCTGAAAGTCTACACTCAAGCATCCCCGTTGAACTGAAACAAGTCTGTCGTTGTTTAATGTTGGCAGAGCCCTTGAGAATACTGCTTTGAGTTCCAGCCTAGGAGAAGTGCAATATGCAATACAGAAATTAAAAAACAAAATATTCTCCTTACTATATTTAATAAGCAGCTCATTGTATGTTTCACAATCAGTTGCATACATATATATTGTGTATCTGCTTGGAAATAATCTGTTTACTTTACAAACATTTTTAAAATTATTTTTGGTACGGTTTTGTAATGCAATTACATCTTCCAGAAACCTTGGATAGTTATAAATTTCTTCTCCATTCAAGCTGAGTGAAAGGGAAAATGTCACTAGCTGACACTGCTTATAAATTTTGTCAGAGCTCCAATCGAGGCATTTGCTGGGAAAGTGACAGGCTGAAATTGAATGCAGTGCCTCTATAGGCTATAATAGCTGAGCACAAAGAAAACTTGACAAGCTCTGCTTGTCATGATGGACTAAGAGAACTCTGAAACTCCTTGATCTGTACAACTATAAAGAAGAACAAGGGACTATCATCTTTTTGCATCTTTGTGTTGCTTTACTGTCAGGATTTGGAAATAAAAACAGCAGCCAAAAACCTAAATGATAAGTGTTCAGTT